AATGTGAAACTGATGATGTGCCCTGTAAACTTTCGCTCAATCCACAATAAAAACCTTAAAAAAAAAACAAAAAAACCCTATTCAGGGTTGCTGTGAGTTAGAACTGACTTAGTAGCACTTAGCAACTAGAAGTACCTGTAATAGGATAGAATCCATGTTACCTGATTGTAAGCCCTTTCTTATTCTCTTTTGCAGGCACCCTAGAATACGTTTCCACACAGGCCTTGTGGACGCACACCTCTACTGCTTGAAAAAATATGTCGTGGATTTCCTAATGGAAAATAAGTAAGAAAGAGGGAGGTAGATCCAAACTTTCAATGCTTAGCAACAGTGCTAATCAGTCTATATAAATAAGCACACTTGTTATCACCTTTATTTAAAAAATGAAATCATGTTTCAGCATATTGTGATTATTGTATGTACTACAAAACTTCTTCCTTCAATTTTGGGGGCCTACTTGCTGTAATAAGCCCTGGTGCCATTGTGGGTTAGGCATTGGGCTGCTAACCTCAAGTTCGGTGGTTCAAACCCATCAGGTGCTCTGAGGGAGAAAGATGATGCTGTCTGTTTCCATAAAGATTTATGGTCTCAGAAACTCTATATAGGGTCACTATGAGTAAGGATCAACTGCATGTCACTAATTTTATAAGCCAGGCAAAATACTTTTATAAAACTAATAGTAACCCATGATGCCTCTTTCTGTACATTTCCAGGCTCTTTTTCCTCCCCCTGTAAATTAAGCTCCTCCACTCTTGTCTTATTGTCATCTCTAAGCAGCTGTCCTAACCCTAATTAATTATCCTGTAGATGGACCCTCCCAGCAAAGAGTAAGAGACAGAAGTGGAAAAAAGGAGCAAGTCTATTCATGAATGAAGACACAAAGTTTGATATTTTTTTCTGATTTTGCTTCAAGAACAGAGTTGTTGGCCTTAAATAAGTCTCAAAAACTGATCATAGGCCTTAGGTTTCCAGAGGGGAAGCTTCCATTGGCAGTTGGTCTCAAGGATTTTTAACAGGAGATAGATACAACCAGAAAACTAAAGGGAACAGGTAGGAAAAATTTTTAAATTCCATGGTTAAGAGAAGAACAGCTTTTCTCCCTTGATGACTACTAAGTTCCTGCATTGAATAGTACTGGTGGATGAGAAATTAGACAGGCAAAGTACTGCAATAGCAAACTCCCTCAAACCAGCTGGAGGAAGGGAGTTTGAGGACCTGAGTTTAATGATATGTTGAAATCATCCTTGTTGTTATTATTAGGTGCCATCGAGTCAGCTCCATTGAGTCAGCTTCTATTCACAGCAACCCTATGAATAACAAAACAAAATACTGCCTTGTCCTGCACCATTCTCACAGTCATTGTGCTTGAGCACATTGGTGCTTCTACTGTGCCAGTCCATCTTGTTGGGGATCTTCCTCTTTTTCAATGACCTTCAATTTCCTAACCATGATATGGGACTGGTCCCTCCTGATAACATGTCCGAACTATGAGAGATGACGTCTTGCCATCCTGGCTTCTAAGGAGCTCTGACTGTACTTTATCCAACACAGATTTATTTGTTCTTCTTGCCCCCCATGGTACTTTGAATACTTGTCTCCAACACCATGACTAAAATACATCAAGTTTTCTATGACTTTCTGTATTCATTGTCAAACTTCACATGCATACAAGGCTATTAAAAATACCATGGCTTGAATCAGGTGTACCTTAGTCCTCAAATGGATGCCTTGCTCTTTAACTTTTTTTTTTTTTTAATAATCCCCTCCATGTACCATCAGTTAACAGTGTTTCTCTCTATTCACTGCAGCTCTTTTTTTCTTTTTTTTTTTAATACTTTATTGTGAATTATATGATAATTCACATGGGAGGACATCAGCTTCACATTGATTCCGTCACACATCATTTCCTTGCCATGGTCATAATCCCCTCCATGCATCATCAAACAACCAAAGGGTACACCCTGCAAGCCTGACCCCTTTCGTCCGCACACTGCACCTCTGCCTCTCCAGATCCAAAGTCTCCAGCTGCTCCATCTCCCCATGTCATCGTCTCTGCCTCCATCCCTGGTATCACTGCTTCTCTGGGTAGGATTCCACTCTCTGCTCTTCTCCTTCGATGGTCCCAGGGACCTCCGTTCCTAGACAGTAAGGTTAATCACTCCCCTCCCTATGCCCCAAAATGTCCACCTTTACATTTCCAGCCCTAACAATCAGTCCTGATAACAATTATTTGCTATTATATCGCAAGGAACCTATCTGCATCTCCTTTTATCAGCCCTAACTAGGCAGAATGGATATCACTCAGTGGACATTCCACGTTGCTCCACGCCCTCTGAATCTAGATTCCCTCTTGAAAGCTTGTATGCCAGTCACTTCTTGCCTCTGTAGCCCACCCACCCCCCATTCTGTGTAGCCAATGTCCAAGTTGTCCATCCCTGTCCTCTCTGTGTTTGGTGGAGGTGGGAATGATCCTCGCTGTGAAGATTTGTTCACTCTTTTGGGCTATTGCTTCCACAGGTGTGTGTCAAGTTCATCAAATTGTGTCAGATTCTTCTCTTTTTTCCCCCTTCTTTCGTCTTCTTTTTGAGCTCTGATCAGCCAGCCGTTGTGGCCAGTTCAAGTGGGTATTATCTGCAAGTGTGGATGTACTTATGTCCTCTCTTCTTATCAGCTGGATGCTTCATTCTTCACTCTAGTCCTCTGTGGCCATGTCACTGTCTCTGGGTCCAAGAGTCCCCTGGACTTGGCACACTGCTGGCCAACCAAGTCTCCATCTGGGTTCACAGGAGTCTATTGAGTGTTGTAGGGCTTAGTTCATAGCTTCATTGCTGTTTTTCCCTCACTTCCCCTTGTTGGTGACAAAAGTGATCACCAATCAGAGCATGCATTCCCGTTGAGCCTTAGTCTTAGAAGGGGGTTTGCCTTGAGGGGGACCCGACCACTTGCTTTGATGTCTCCTGGGCAAGCCACTTGTTTGTTCTTGTAGTAATCAGTTGGCTTGCCTATATTGTTTTGTGTTTTTCCTGTCAGTCTTTCTTTTAGGACATATCTTCTGTTCTTCTGCCCATCCAGGCTGGTCTGCTTGTCCTTTCAAGTGGAACTTTCCCCTCAGAAGATTCTGGATGCTGTTCAGGATTCCATCTGTGGTCTTGTGTAATGCAAGGGCTCCGCAGGAAGCCTCCTTCACTGGACACGTTGTATCCCCCTTTTAGGTATTCCAGTCAGTTTTAGACAGAAGATGGACTTACAAGCTTTCTATGGTAGTATTTCTGGCTCTTTCTTTCTCTCCCCTCCAGTGTCTATTCTATAGCTGTATGCCAGGGAAATGTAGCTCTTTTTTTTAAAAAAAAAAAAAACAACCATAATAATTTACACCACCAAATGGCACATTCTGCAAGTCGGCCTCCTGGTCGCCAGCTCTTAGTCTCTCTCTTCCCATGAATCTAGAGTTCTCAGCTGCTCCCTCTCTCCATGTCCCCATCTCTGCCTCCATCTCTGGTTTTGCTGCTTCTCTGGATAAGGTCTCGCATTCCATTTGTGCTCTTCTCCCTTGATGGTCCTAGGATCCTTTGTTTCTAGACTGTAAGATTAATTACTTCCCCATTTTTGATACAAAACTTCTACCTTTACAATTGTGACAGTCGCAATTAGTCATGATAACATTACTCACAGTTGAATCATAAGAATCTTATCCCCATCTCTTTTAACCAGACCCATCTAGACAAGATGAAAACTATTCAGTTTTTTTTCCCCCACACACTATTAAACTAAGCTCCCCCTTGAAACCTTGTAAGCCAGCCACTTCTTGCCTTTATCGCCCCCTCATGTTAAGTAGCCAGTGTCTAAGTTGCCCATCCCTATCTACTCTATGTACAAAGGGGATAGCATTGATACTTGATGTGAAGACTCCTTCCCTTTCTGTTGATATTTAGAGTTACTACCTCTATGAGTATAGGTCAAGTTCATCAAATTGTAGCAATTTACCTTTGTTTCCTTTATCAAAAATTGTTTTGTTCTTTTTTTTCCATCTTCCTCTAGTCGAGTTCTGATTATCAAGCCATTGAGGCTAGGTCAAATGGGTACTGTCTGCAACTTTGGGTGTTCTTGTGCACCTCCTCTCACTTCATATCAACTGGATGCTTCACTCTGAGTTATAGCCCTCTGTGGCTATGTCCTTGTCCGCAGGCTCAGGTGTCCCCAGCCCTTCCTCTTCTCTCTCTCATCTCCAGGTCAACAGGAGTCAGTGGACCGTGGTTGAACTCAGCCTGTTTCTTCATTGCTACCTTTCCCCTTCTTCCACTTACCGGTACACCAATGTGATTGTCAGCAAGCTTACATGCTTATTTGTGTGTTCCCTTTGAGTTTCAGTCTTAAACGGGGGTTTTTATCCTGAAGAAACTTGATTGTTTGCCTTGATGGCTTCCTGGCAAACAACTTGCTTAGTCTTGTAGTAGCCAGTTATACTGCCTTTTTTGTTTTGGGTTTTTCCTGATGACCTTTCCTTGGAGAGGTATCTTCTGTCACCCTAGCTGTTCCAGGCTGGTCTGCTTTTCCTTTCTAGTAGGAATGTCTCACCTCAGAAGGTTCTGGATTGGACTCAGGATTCCACTTAAGGTCCTGTACCCTGCAAAGTCTCCGCAGGAGGCCTATTTCACTGGGCACATTCTAGAACCCCTTTTAGGTATTCCAATCAGTTATAGGCTGAAGATGGGCTTATAAGTTTTGTGTAATAGTGTTTGTCAACATTCCTTTCTATCCAACTCAAGTGTCCATTTTACAGTAGTAGACAAGGGAAACCAATATACATAAGGCATTCAAGCATTTTAGTTAATTAATTCCTTGATCCTTGTATCTCAGAGCCCTGTTGTCCTAAGGTTGAACATGCATCATTACTTACATCTGTCCTATATACCCCGTGCAATCCTGTCTCAGTGCTCCCCTATCTACCTTGTTATTCTACCTTCTTCCCCCCTTTAACATTTTAAAGAGGTCTTGTGCACCAGATTTGCCTAGCATAATTGTTGTTGTTGTTAGGTGCCATCGAGTCGGTACCTACTCATAGCAATCCTATGCACAGCAGAATAAAACACTGCCCGATCCTGGACCAACCTCGCTACTGTTGCCACGCTTGAGTCCATTGATGCTGCCACTTGGCCAATCCATCTCATTGGGGGGTCTTCCTCTTTTTCTCTGACCCTCCACCTTACCAAACATCATATCCTTCTCCAGCGACTGGTCCCTCCTGACAATATGTCCGAAGTATGAGAGTCGAAGTTTGGCCATCT